AAATCATGCACTAATTAGGCTTACAAATTCCCTCTCGCAAAATAGTTTGAATCTGTGAATTTAGTTTCGTAATTAATCTATATTTAATATTACATGCATATGTCCACAGATCGGATTGGACAACGACTAAATTTTATCACCCCATAAGAAAAAGTTAAAAAGAAGCGATTGTACTGAACTTCCTATCTTAATGCAGTCCCGGGTTCGAACCCAGGCGGAGCAAACATTTTGGTTTTCAGTTTATTGTTATTATTACTGCTTTAACCATAGACTAAATAAAATAAAGAAAGCAATGCTAACGCACTCACTGTCCTAGCCCAGTGGTTAAGCTCTTTTATTTTTTTATTTTTTTATTACTGCAGCGGTTGCTTATGTCAACTGCCTCCGTAGATCATCTTCAGCGGCGGCTGACCTAAGAAAACCGTCTCTGAAGATGCTTGCCCTATATACACCGCGCTTGGGCAAAAAAATTGTAAGTCCCGGCGCGCTCGTTCGAAATTGCAGCGAAGCACTGCCAAATTTTTCTTTGGCGCCTCCTGTACCACCTCGCTGACCTACGCGTCCCGAATCACCTCGCTGGTGTCCTTTGCCCGGCGCTCCCCCGTCAGCTAGCGGAGGAGTCGACCATCGCCGGCGCCACCAGTGCAGAGACAGCCACGGCCACGGAGGGAGGCGTCAGTGCGGGAGCCCAAGCGCAGTGGTGTAGGGGGCCACGGAGCCCAAGCGGAGCTGGGAGACGAGTGCGTCTTCCGCGACGGAGGTCGGGAGCGCTTCTTCCGTCGCAGTCACCTGCCATGTATTTTTGTCCATATTAATGCGATTATTCTTCTAATATAAGAATTAGGTACCTACTAATTAGTTTTGTTCCCTTTTTATCTATAATATTCTATGTTATTTAAAAAATTAGTTCTTTTTATTATAACATAAACATTTATTTGGTTACTATATATATTCTTATCGTGTATGCATTTCATCTTGCACGGTTGTTGCCGCTGTCTATTTGAACAACCCCCTATATCCAAATCTTGGCTCTCCCCATGACTTTGATGGACCCAACATGGTTTGGGTACCAAGTTATGCTTGATGAGTGTTGTAGGTACATGAAGGTGATATGAAGCCTCGGGGTGCTTGAGCAAGTTTATTGAAAATATTCACTCAAGCTATCAATCAATTTATATTGTATTTTCTTATATGGTTAACCCGAAGATGACTCATTGCAACTATTTCAAACTTTATACTCACCTCGGTAACTAGTACCTAACATTTACTAGCTAGCCACTTAACTTGTATAGTCTCTAGTAGTTCACAAATATATGTGTGTTTGTGAATTGCTAAGAGTGGCTAGAGTACTTAAAGTTTAAAAGAATCATTTTTCATATGATGCTCTTAATGGATCTCTAGTAGCAAGATCTTATTCATGTTGTAGGTAATGAGAAACCATCTTATGAGGCAATCAAGCAAATAGCAATTGGTGATATAAGACCATAAGAAGTACAAGCTACAGAATTGGAGGCTCCTCATATTGATATGCAACCTGCTGCTGAAGTATGAGTAGCAGTGCCGCTCTCACTCGCTGCAGTGCCGGACAGCAGCAGTGTCGTGCATAGGAGCAGCACAAAAAATACGTTATATGATCGAAATTGATTAAAAGTGTTGATTTTTGCTTCCTATTGTTGTTATATGATCGAAAGCGATTATTTTTTCCTTTGAGCAGCGCCTATAGATACTACATTAGAGAAGGTAGAGTGCATGACCTAGAGAAGAAGGATAGGTTGACTATTTGTATGAGTCCATGGGAATGATCATTTTCTAACCCAACCAAGGAGAATATTGATTATATGGAACAATGCGTTAGAGTATGCCACACATCCCAAGTTTGAGTCTCTTCGCATTGTAAGCGTGGATCCCTTCCTTTTATTTTTCGAGCAGAAGCACAGATAATTAGTATTTTGTAATGTGTATATGTAATTGTGGTACAGATACTTTGTTGATCATGTGTGTATTAATATAGTTAGCAAGGCCACTAGTGTGTATTTATGAAGTTAATTTTAATCAGTTGCAACCGGGTCTGAAATTTGGTGGGAAAACGCGATTTCAAACATGGCAGGAATTTTCAAATTCAAAAATTTGAAACTGATTTCTAGAGGTGGTTGCCGCCCCTGATAATGCCTTTTCAGAGGCGGTTCATGTATTTAGACTGCCCCTAAAAAGCATTTTTAGAGGTGGTTGGCATACTGCAACCGCCCCTGAAAATCCATTATCAGCGACGGTTTTTCTAACGGAACCGCCCCTAAAAATACCATTATCAGAGATGGATTTCCTAACGTAACCGTCCCTAGAAATGTATTTTTAGGGGCGATTAAAAGCCCATCGCAGGAAACACCACTTCTTTAGAATCGATGGCACCGCAGCGGTTTGGTCGACCGCCCCTCTAAAATTGATTACTGTAGTAATGTCGATGTGAGAGACGTGGAGGGGGCAAATGGATATGCCAAGCACGTATGTGTACGTGTCGTGGATGGTTAAACATGCCAGTGTTGGGCTTTTCTTTTAGCTAGGCCAGAATCCAGCGCGGGAACTTAAGGAGTGTTTGGCATCTTCTTTTTGCGCGGTTTCAATGTGCAGTAAAGTGACAAAAAAATTACTTGAGCGTTGGCACTCAAGGAAACTACCATTTCCTTAGTGTTTCTACAAACACTCAAGCAAATACACATTTTCCTTGAGTGTGTGAAATAACACTCAAGAAATATGCATTTTCTTAGGGGTGTTAAGCAACCGCCAAGGTAATATATATTCCTTGAGTGCTCAATCTCGCCACTCAAGGATATTCCATTTTGTTGTAGTGTCTATATATGAGAGGATCACGACCGATTGAGTATCTCAACTTTCAATCATCAAAATCAATCTATTACAACCCGTTTACTCCTTTTCCTCTATACCTTGCTGTTTGTTGTGTCTCTCAGCGAGATTCAGCGGCGTCTTAAGCAACCTTGCTGGTCCTAAGGCAACCTCCACGTGCTCCTCTCTGAGGGGTCTTCCTGAAAGAAGTTCAGGAGTGTACCAGGTGAAGAACGAGCTCAACATCGACCTAATCGGTTTCATCGGTTTGTTGTGTTCTTGCGGTGTTGAGGGTTGATTGCAACCCACCGGGTATGCTAGTCCTTGCTGGTGTGCGATTCAGCTCCGTTACGACATCAACACACTTTTTGGCGACCACTGGTAGAAATGTGCATTTATGATGAAAATCTTAATGACCCTTAATTTTTCTTACAATATATTTATAAAAAGGAAACAACGTCATCTTAGAGACACATTGGATACAAATTTATTGATGCAAGCTCTTATGTTGTAACTCCTAACCTTGTTTATAAATATATATTATGACTAACTGTTGGTAAAAAAATTATAAATAATTAACTTTCCCGTTATAAAATACGCTTATCGTTCAGGACGAAGGGAGTGTGCTATCTAAGAGCATCTCCAAGAGTGCAGTCTTCCACTAATAATTTAAGCTCTACCACTAATAATATTAAATAATATGGTGTAGGCTTTAAATGGTTGTTTATACCATCATAGTCCTTAAGGGTGCGTCTACAATCTAAAGTCATTATTTTAAAAATATAGAAGGTTTGTTAATAAAAGATTCAATAGGTACCAGAGTCACTTAACTTGAGGATAAAAATTGTGTAGCAATCAATAAGAATGATATTTGAAAATCAAAATGTAGGTTCATAGCGTCATAAGATATGGGATATAACAAGAGAGCCACTATAGTTTAAGCTAAGATTTGAACTAAATGCGTATTAAAGATAAACAAAGGTACCACGCACATGGGAAAAAACTATGGATATGAATTCAAAAATATATAGATTAGTAATTGATAAGTTTATCGTAACTTGATAGAGGCTATAATGTACTATTATACTTATTGTGTTAGAAAATAAACAAAGAAAAGACACGTAAAGTTTATTATAAGTATTTTTTTAGTGAGGGGTCTTAAACAATAATTAATGCTTATATCTCCTAAGATTCTAGCCCTTGCTAAAGCATTGGTTGATGGACCAATAGCTATATAATTCAACTATCGTGTATATCAAGTTAACCTAGCAACCCATGAAATTTATCAACTTCATTCAGACCTGAAATAGCTGCTACACTAGTGAAAAAAATACACATTAATGATGAGAAAAAAATGATAGGTGTAATAAGCAACCGATATTATCCTTGTAGAACTATGTATGCATTGAGACTTAAGTTTTCGGAAGGATTCCTAACTGATTGGGCTCTATCACAATTCACAAGATTTGACTTATACTAGCTTTTCAATTATATATAGAGTAAGCAGTCAGCAACATATATATGGAATAAAAATAAGCAACAACTTGACTTGGGGAAATCTCAATAAGTCCTTGTGGAAATCTTCCAAGTCCACACAATAGCCAAAGCCCAAATTTCCCCATCATGGACAACAGTGCGTACTACTACTACTACTGCCTGCTAGCTCTTCTACCACTCGTATACTTTCTTGTCTAGTTCTGATGGAGAACTGATCCTTTGGATCTTGTAGCCATGGACTTCGGCTCCCTGCAGGCCCATGGCCATATAAATCAATCACAATTCGAGTGGACGTCATGCTTGGTGCGAGTACACAGGGGAATGCTATAGGTGGGTGGGTTTGGTGGGGAGATGTTGGTTAACTGCCACAGTTTCCTGAAGTTACACATCAAACAGATGGGGAGATGTTGGTTAACTGCCATAGTTTCCTGAAGTTACACATCAAACAGATGGGGAGATGTTGGTTAAGTGCATCACACACATCCTCATCGTAGCATACATATGCAGCCTGCAGGAGCTGTCCAGATGAAGGGAACCAAAAAGTCCACACAATTAACAAAATGTATACAACTTGATGGCGATGAAAATACTGATGATGGAACCATGGATTTAATTTAACTTGTCAGTGGGACACACGGAGTAGCAGACAACAGCAGGTCTGCTTTTCATCTAGCAGTGATTCCCATGGTCTCAGTCATGTCCATCTCACTCGGAACGACGCCCTCCGGCAGGCTCCAGTCGAAGTAGAACAGCAAGCTCGCCAGACCAAGCTCGATATAATTAGCCATCCCAAACGCCATCCCAGGCCAAATCCGTCGTCCAGCTCCAAACGGTGTGAACTCGAAGTCGTTGCCCCTGAAATCCCTCGCGTCACCCACAAACCTCTCAGGATCGAACGTCTCCGGGTCCTCCCAGTAGTCCGGGTTCCTGAGATCGCCCACGCGTTCACGAGCACCATGGAAGGTCGCCTAGTCGATCTTGTGTTACCTTCGTCTGTCCCGTGTAGACTCCCCTGACCTCGGGTTGCGCCTTGGACATGGCAGCAGGGTTCCTCATCAGCTCCGCCATCACCCACTGCAGTGTTGATGCTGCCGTCTCGATCCCCCCTGCGATAAGATCCTACAAGTTCAAAAACAAAATTTATGAAAAGAAAAGTTAAGAAGCTTAGAGCTTTTGTACTGAACTTAGCAAAAAAAATACTTACAAATATGACTTCTTCGATTATGCTCATGGTGAGAGGGAACTTGAGGTTTCCCTCCTGCTGGATTCGGAGGAGAACGTCGACCAAGTCCTCCTGATCATGAGCTTCTTCTTCTCCACCACATGATTTCTTCCTCTCCAGGTGCTCACGGACCACTCCATTCATGAAGGCGACCAAGGACTCGCGGAAGTCTTCCACCCTGCGCACCGCTCGGCGCAAGGTCAACACGCGAACAAGCAGCGACGACGGGAACAGGTCGATCGGCGTGAAGCCTCCTGCCAACCGGACGCTCTCGTCGACGTAGTGCAGCAGGGTGTCAGTCTCCTTGAACCGCCTGCCCATGATGGCGCGCACCGACGCGTCGGCGACGTACACGGCGACTAGCTTGCTGAGGTCGACGAGTCGAGACGACGGCTTGGACCAGCCGGGCCGCCTCCTCCTCGCGCACGGGGCCGAACGACTGGACGCGCCTGGCGCTGAGCAGCTCCATGATGCAGATCTTGCGGAGCTGACGCCAGTGGTCGCCGTACGGAGCCATCACGATCCCCGGGCCGTCCCTGGTGAAGACCCTGGCACTCAGGGTCATTGGCCTCGTCGCGAAGATGGCGTCGTGGGTCTTCATGAATTCCTTTGCGGCGTCCGGCGTGGATGCGACGACCACCGGGACCTCACCGAGCTTGAGGAACATGAGAGGGCCGTGCCGGAGCGACAGGTCTCGCAGGACGCGGTGTACGAGGGAGCCGCGGAGGTGGTGGATGCTGCCGATGATGGGGAGCTGCCATGGGCCTGGAGGGAGTCGAGGTCCATGGCTACGAGATCCAAAGGAACTTCTCCACCAGAACTTGACAAGAAAGTATACGAGTGGGAGAAGAGCTAGTAGGCAGTAGTAGTACGCACCGTTGTCCATGATTCGGGAAGTTTGGGCTTCGGCTCTTGCGTGGACTTGGAAGATTTCAGACTTATTGAGATTTCCACAAGCCAAGTTGCTCCTTATTTTTATTCCATATATGTTCCTGGCTGCTAACTACATATATATTATATTCACAAAAAAAACTACATATATATAATTGCTAACATGGTATAAGTAAAATCTTGTGAATTGTGATAGAACCTAATCAGTTTGGTATCCATCCGAAAACTTAAGTCTCGGTGCAACTACCTCATTATATATTGAAGATGCATACATAGTTTTGCAAGTATAATATCGATCGATTATTACACATTTTTTTCCTCATCATTAATGTGTATTTTTTCACTAGTGTAGCAGTTATTTCCGGTCTGAATCAAGTTGATAAATTTCGTGGGTTGACAGGTTCACTTGATATTGACTATAGTTGAATTATAGCTATTAGTCCATCAACCCGTGCTCTCGCACAGACTAAAATCTTAAGAGATATAGGCATTAATTATTGCTTAATACCCCTGACTATAAAATTACGTATAATAAAATAAATTTTACGTGCTTTCTCTTTGTTCATTTTCTAACACAATACGCATAATAGATACATTGCAGCCCTTATCTAGTTATGATAAACTTATCAATTATTGATCTATAAATGTAATACATATCCATAATTTTTTCCCCATTTGCGTGACACCTCTGTGTATCTTTAATATGCATTTAGTTGAAATCTTAGCTTAAACATAGTGGCTCTTGTTATAGCCCATATATATATCTTATGACGTTATGAACCTAAATAAATTTTGATTTTCAAATATCAGCCTTATTGATTGCTACACAGTTTTTATCTTTAAGTTAAGTTGAAACTCTGGTACTTATTCGGAGTGTTCGGCTGGTATGAAAATATTGTTCATGCTGGTACGAAAACACTGTTTATACTAATATTTTGTGAGAGAAAAACGCTGCTCTGGCTGGAAAAAAAAAAGTGAACCGGCCAGCCGATCTATGCCAGCCGAACACTGCCATTGTATCTTTTATTAAAAATCCGTTTATATTTTTAGAAATAATGACTTAAGGTTGTAGACCACACTCTTAAGGACTATGATGGTATAAACAGCTATTTAATTAAAGCCTACACCACATTATTTAAGATTAATGGTAGAGCTTGAAAGATTAGTGGTAGACTGCAGTCTTGGAGATGCTCTTAGATAGTACGCTCCCTCTTCCCACAATGATAAGCATATTTTATAACGAGAAAAAGTTATTCTTTTCTACAATTTTTGACCAAAAGTTAGTCATAATATATATTTATATTTAAGGTTAGGAGTTGGGACAAAAGAATTTGCATCAATAAAATCTGTATCCAAAGTGTCTCTGAAACGACGTTGTTTTTTTTTTAGCAAATATATTGTAAGGAAAATTAAGGGTCAGAATCTGTTATTTTGTTTGACTTGTCTATATTCAAAATACGATAATCATTCTGGATGGAATAGAGGGAGTAACAGTTAAAGTGTGACATAGATATCCTAAATAAAACTACACCTTAAAAACAGATGGAATAGTGTGCACTACTCCTTTTTGTCCAAATTATAAGAAGTTTTAATTTTTCTAGATACGTTGCTTATATTATGTGTCTAGACAGTGTATATCTAAATGTATAGCAAAAATTATGTATCTAGGAAATCCAAAATGTCTTATAATTTAGAACGGACGCAGGACATTGTTGGCTCATTTTTTATTTTTCTAGATATACTGATTTTATTATGTATTTAGACATAGTGTATATCTAAGTGCATAATAAAAAATTATATATCTAGAAAATCCAAAATATCTTATAATTTGGAACAGAAAGAGTACATTGCTGGCTCATGTGTACACTAGCATAGAGAGCTCCGGTGTGCCAAACTAATGAACCATGAGTGACAGCAGATAATGTTGCTGATGCCTTCTATATGCTGGCAAAAAGAGAGCCAAAATAGTCAAAAACATGATGAAATATGAAAAAAAAAAACACAGTAGTACATCACAGGCTTGGACTAGTATAATTAATTGTCTGCGGCCACGGTAGCTCGTAGGGAACACCCGCTTGGCATTCAAGGTCGTCGTCATCTTGTTCGCCCGCTGCAGCTTCATGGTCTGGACGTCGAGGGAGAACAACAAGGTGGAGGAGGCGAGAAGGCGCCGAGTACCAGGGTTGCCGCCGCCGCCGCCGTGGTCGTGTCCAAGAAACGCCATGACCGGTTCGCCCTGAACTCCATGTTGGCCAGCTGGCATAGACCAACACTCCTCTCGACCATGCACTCCCAGCCGCCATGGGCCCTCGTGACCTTGAGCACCTCGAGGTCGTCCTTCACCAAGCGGACGATGCGCACTAGGGTTCCTGCGTCCCCATTGACGACTCGCAGATTCTCCCTGTCACGTATAAATTGTAGACATCGTCCAGCGCTAACGGAAGCGTGATTGTCGAGAAGCCGCCGGTGGCCTCGTCAAGGGCGAGTAGTACATGGCCGTTCTCGATGCCAGAGAAGAAGATGGATCCCCCGGCACGCCCCACGAATCGCTGGTCCATGTCCATGTTTGTAACATCCGTGTAGACGTCGCTGCTGACAGTCCACCGGATCCAGCCGTTGTCCCTAGCTGAGAAGACACATGCCTCGGCTGTTGTTGTCGCATCCATGTCATCCGTGATCAGACACACACATAGCACGCTGAAGCCCGACATGTTGTCGCCGTCGCCGGCGTCGAGAATGAAGGCACCGAGGCAGTCATACCAGCACACTCCCTATCTCCTGGATCTTCTACAGGTCACTGCTGCCTAGTCCAGGGATCGCACACGATGGCGTACCAATTGTCACGGACAAAAGCGAGGAGGCCGCCACGGCTGTCGGTGAGCACTGGCGATCTGTGCATGTGCTCGCCGTCGATGAGGAAGTCGAGGGAGAGGCGCTGGCGGAAGAAGTGGGTAGCTGGGTGCGCTGCGAAGGGGACAAACTCGGCATCGGTACGACTGAAGCCGGCCTCCGTACGCGTGGTCTTTACCGAGTAGTGGCCGAGAAGATGGCTCTCGGCCGGTGGAGAGAGCGGACGCGGTGGAGAAAGCCGTGATCACGCAGAAGAGGCAGACGGGCGTGCGGACACGCAGGAAGACCAGCTCCAGAAGGTCACCGGGTAGGTCGTGGATGCTGGTCCTCGTCGGCGGCGGCTCCCCGTCTCCCGTGCAGGTCACTGCAGCGATCCACGTGCGGCACCGGCGGCGACTATTCCTAACCATAATGGAGATTGCCCAAAAAAACGTTTGAAAAGAGACCGCCTTTTGGTGTACCGTGTTATAGTAGCAATTTTTGGTGATAAGGAAAATATTGTGCAGGATTTCGATACCGAGTAGGACTCGACACGGAGGAACGGAGCCTCACTTAAAAACATGTAGTTGCCTTTCGAGCACGTGCACACGAACCAACGATTGCATTGCCTGCCTTCGTGAATACCCACAGTACAACTTCTATGTTAGAGTCTAATCTAATAAGACCTAAATGGTATTATCTATTCATCTACTACTCGATCGCGGCTTCTGCATCGTCAAGCATCTCTGCATTTTCCTCAAGAAGTTGATCGCACATTTTCAAGAGCTCGTCAGCAAGCGGAGGGATGCCAGGATTGCGGTTGTCATTGTAAACGTGTGCGTTCACTGCTATCTGGGCCACGTCATGCCTGAATCCCTTCCTGTTTCTGTACTCCATCTTCCTTACTTTGTCCCTAATGGTAACAAGGTCCATTGGATGATCTATGAGATGTCAAGGTAATCAGGAGCATCTTTCTTCGTCACTGGTTTAAGAAATATGTATGATACAGCAGTGTTTCTCCGCAAGCAGTCAACGACCTTTTCCAGTATGTTGGAGAGCTCAACCTGCATTAGGATGCAAACAAATTAATCAAGCTCAAATTCCTCCTGTAAGAAATATGCTTATGTACAACCATTTGGCCACTCTCAGAATACCTAAAGTTTGTCAAGTTTTGACCACAAATAAAATACATCTACTACAACAGAATAAGCAAATGCTTTGGAGACAAACATTACTAAGCAATGAAAACCCCCATTAAAACATATAGATTGTACCTCTCCTCCTCTGCGCCGTTTAGACGTCCGATGTCTTTCAGGTACCCTTCTTTCATCTTTGTATGGCCTACGATAAAGTAAGGCTGCCTCTTGAAATTCAGGTTTTGTCTTTCCCTTGATTTTATTTTTTATCCTCTGGAGCCCTTCCTCCCTCTTTTCATGTATCCCAGCTTCAATTAGCATGTGTTCCTGCATATCTCTTTCCCCTTTGAAACTAAATGGGGAATTCATCTGGCCGGTTTGTCTATCGGACCAATCTTCTCTGATTTTGTTCTCGGGAACTGATAATTCAACAATTTTTCTTGTGGGCTCCTGAACAGTACTAAATTGAACATGTTTTTGTTGGTCTAGAAGACCCTTAGGCTGCTTGACGGTGATATTCTTGCTAGGAATATTCTTCCCAAGTTCAGCAGGAGGCTGAAATACAACAGATGCTTTTTTGAATATCAGGAGGATAATCATCAAACTTCATCTTATTAGACTTCAATATCTTGTCGGCCTTTCCAGTAGGTCTGAAGTCTGTGACATCCACAATGCCTTCAACAGAAACTAGTGAACCAGACAGTGACATGTTCCGCTCCAAGGACCTTTGAGGTGCCCCACATTTGAACTTTACTGGGACAGATTTTGTCTTTTCAATACATTCAGGTCCTTTGGTTTCAGTATCTTCAAATGAGACTGTAGTTATCAACTTCTTGCTCAGCGTCTGGCTTGCTTGATCCAAAGGATTAAAATCAACTGAATTTGTATCCATTACTGTATTTTCTTGATCCTCCCCATACTTAGGGCACAGTTTGTTGGTCCACATATGCCCAAGCTATAAAACAAAAGAAATGACAAAGTCAGACTCATAAGATGATGAAACAATTCACTTTACTGTGCCTACCTGACCACAAGCACCACAGGTAAAATTATCATTCCTTCCGCACTGTCTCTTTCCCGAAAAGAAGAAACGAGTCACAATAACAAGATAAGATCAGCTTCGACATGAATGAATCATAGAACTCTCAACAAAGCTCAAAAGTTTCAAATTTTAGTGGCACAAATATCTGCACTAAAACTTTAATAGGTGTGATGCCAAGCCAAGAATTAGCAAAAAAGCATGACCTTAAATTACCAATATAAACAGTATCCCCACTACTCAACTCACTCTTTATGTTTACTTTTTATGCAGCCTGATGGGTACAGACTACGGACACCATCACAAGTACAACATATAATGATCGCTTCACACCGAGTATCATTACAACCAAAACAACATAATTACATGTAGCATAGGTGGGAGTGAAGCAAAACTTGTTGCATCCAGCAATCATGTCATGGGCCAGCGTGGACGCACGTGAACAGTACCCTCGGGGGTACTGTATCCCTGATACTTAGTAGTAGTGTAGCACCAGGGGGAGTCCATCTAGGTTTAGGAAGAGTATCTAGAAAATAGAACTGCTTGTAAGACAAGTGAGGTTGGGTCCTCCCTATAAATATGAGGGAAGATGTAACTATTAAGATTAAGCAAAAATAAAATAGGGGTAAGACCCTAAAGCTCTCTAGCCTCCCCATGCTCGAGCTATCAGAAGACATGCTGCCCTCCCTGCGCCCGGAATAGTCACATAAAATGGGTTTGATGTCTTCGACCCTCGACCAGGGTTCATCAACCCCGACCCAGGTTCGTGGGTTCATTTTCGACCCGAAGTGTAAAAATCTCTTGCAAGTAGCGTACCACGTTCCATGACCCCGTCGACTCAAAAACTTTGTGACTATGGCCCGGACGGCTGCAGCCAGTTGCTGCCACCCCCTTCCTCTCTCTTAAGGTGTGGCTTAGCCCTAGGGCAGCCGTTCTCCTCTAATGCCCCCCCAGATATTCCCCAATTGTACCCTCTAATCCCTCTCCCCTGATGCAAACCATTACATCATCGCTTTCAGGTCTAAGGGCAACCTACCTTCAGCAAAAGATTTCCCAGCCTGCATACAGTAACGTAGCATGCTAGTTCCTAGAGCTTGTTTCTTATAGTACATCAAAAAATCATAGTAATAGACAAACAACTGGACCAGGCCTCAAACATTAGACGGAGAGTAATACCTCTTTCACCTCTCTTGGAGTGCTCCCCTTTGAGGTCAATGTAGCAGTATGACCTGACATTCTAATCATTTTCCCAGTCTCCCTCTGCTTTGATTTTGTGGCACCTAGATCATACATAGATGTTTCATCATTTGTCATTTCCACAGGTCGCTTCCTTCCCTTCTTACCATTACCATTGTCTGTCCCATAACAGGCCATCAATCATAAGTACGAAGCTGTTTTTAAATAAAATAAATACATATAAAGAAATAACCACCTTCAAGCAGTTTTTTTGCCAGAGAGGTTTCTGCTTCACCATCTTCAATTTCACCACTAATTTGAATTCGAGTTAGGCACCTTCTCATTTGAAGCCCTCTCATTCCTTCTACTTTATCATTTACCAGGCCTGCTTTACCAGTATCTTCGTCATCAAATTCTTCTGCATCTAGCAAGTTCTCAAGATCCTCAGCAAATGAGTCCAGATCATTGTCGGCTTCTGTGTCACTACCATTGTCAACGTCTATAGCTGAAAGTGACTCAAGTTGTCTGTCCCAAATTTCCTGGCATTTCTCTCTAGTATGCTGCTGAGGCTGCAGAAAAGGCATGTTTTGTCCGCGCGCAAACTTACTAACTGGAATTTCATCAATAGTAATTCCCAATGCAGCTTTCTCACTTGACAGCTTCCTCACCATAGTAATGAGATCCCACCTTGTTAAGTTGTGAACTTCTGCTTCTGGAACACCGAATTTTAGGAGCAGCTATATACAGCAATACATTAGTGGCAAACATTAGTAAGAAAATTTTAAATATTTGATAGATTTAAGAACACAAGATTTCATCAAAGCAATAGATATATAATTCACATTTTTTACTCTCCTAGACAAATACCATACTAAAGACGAATCAACAAGAACGTAGAATCAACTTACATGGCATGGGAGATCTACTTCTACATTGCCAAAAAAAAAAAAGAAGAAGATCTGAGTGTCATTGACATGTGGGTAAGTGCCACTGGTAATTTACACCCCATAGTATATTTATCATTTAGAGCCAATTGTTATGGAGGGTTTAAACATGCTTTCTTTATACCCATAAAAATAAGTCTTAAGGACCTTCAAATATTAACACACATATGTTGACACTGAAACATGTTGCATGAATTAAAGGTAAATCAGCACCGGTAACCCTAGCCAATGTTTACTAAATCAAATAGGCTCTATGGTACCTCTCTGGCTGCATCATTGCTCAACCTGCGGAGATCAGCATCAGTTCCAGTTACAGTGGTACCTTTTGCCACAGCTGACTTTTTTCTTGACATAGCTGAATCCAAGCCCAAGACCAGATGGATCACCGAAACCAGTAATTTCTAATCTTTCTATATTCTTCCTGTCCTGCACATGTCCAAGGAAAAAAGAACTGAAATTTGAGGACAACATGTACCAATAAATCTCTCTAGCTATCCAAGGATCAATGGAGGTGGTCACAGCATTATTATGGATGTCGCTGCCTGAGCTGACAGGGAAGAGGGCTGGGAGTCAAAAGGGGCCTTAATGGATGTTCGAATTGTGCTGGGTATATTGGTCTTGTTGATTGGAACCAGATAGCTACCAATGGTGGTCATAAACCTAGCACCTAGAAAATAGTAGTGGCATCAAAATCTTCAAATTTCAAACCCTACTTTTGATAAACCGTACTCCATTTTTTTTCTTGAACATGCAGGAGAGCTGTGTATCTTTGAAGAATATTACCCCCATTTAGTTCTTTCTTCTGTGCCGGGTCGGCATGCAAAGTCTCGCCCCCATTTCTGATGAGACTTCTTTTAATGATTGGTGGGACAGAAGCTCAAGGGTGGTGGCTCATCACTTAAGGAAGGGCCTCAACTCCATCATCTTAGGAGCCTGGACTTTGTGGAATATTCGCTGCGTGTTAATGGTGAACCTCCTAGCCTAGCTAGAACACTGTTGCTCTATGGTGAAGAGTTTCATTTTTGGGTATGGCTGGGGCACGAGCAGTTGTGAAGCTACAGCAAATTGAAGGAGGGTGCGCTTGCCTTATGGGTGCATAGACTTGTGTCATAAAAGATGCATATATGCTGAAATTTTAGTCAAAATCATGGTTTTTCAATTTTTGGGGGATGCATTTGCACCCCCTAACTACATTATAGCTTCACCCCTGGGCATGAGGTATTGATCAACTCCTTGCCCGGGGACTGAATGTGCATTAATTTTGGTCATGGTCATCTTGAACTCTTGTTAAGGACGAGAATGTTTGTTTAAGAACCTAATGGGTGGGTGTAAGGGTTTTTGTATGGATTCTTGCTCCATTTTTCCTTATGATGATACACAGCTCTCCTACTTGTTCGAGAAAAAAAGTAAGAATGGACACTTACAAGTTACAACACAACCACCAGAATCTCCGCAGAGAAATAAGTGGGGGTTGCAAAAGGAGAATAAAAAACGATCACCTGATACAAAACAATCAACCATGACCTAACAACTGGAGTAATCAAGTTAACCCTAAATCATGACCTATGCCCAACTCTTGAAGCTTTTTAGCTCCAAACGGGCACCAAATTCATCCCCTCCCTAAAAACTAATGGGTCTTCATGAGAGAAGGGGAAGCACCCTCAAAAACACATTTGTTTTGATGGAGCCACAAAGTCCAAGCCCCTAACTCGACTTGCAGGGGGGTAAAACAGCCCCCGGGCATTTTTCTGACAAGACCTTCTCACACAGGTTGAGAACACCCCCGAACACTACACGGCGGCACCATAGCCCATGTGAGAACAACCACAGCTGGGGCCGGACCTTAGACTTGTGCTTTGGCATGGAATAGACAAGGGGATTTTTTTAACCCTAGGCTGAAATTTGCTCCCACGGGGAGTCGAACCCAAGACCTAAGGAGTGCAACTCAAGCCATCTAACCAACTTAACTAGAGGCCCTTTCGCAAATACCAAATGATGTGAATAGTTCATTCCAAAACATACAAAGTTTTGCTGATTACTAAATAATTGACCCCACTACCTATTTTATGAGTCCTGCAACACAAAATCATATTACTATATGAGTTCAAACAGAAGTTTAAGTTGCCAAACTAAGCTAGATACAGTTTCCCATCAAGGCCCCTGGCCCCGTTTGGAAATGGGGGTTGGAAGAGGATCCGAATTCTTATGATTAATCCCCACCCCTCAAACCCTCTAAGCAGGTCTTAGGTGGTGTTTGGATCAAGTGACTAAAATTTAGGAGGTGTGTCGGGAGGATGTCGCATGGGCTGTTCGGATACTAATAAAAAAACAAATTACATAATCCGTCAGCACTCCACGAGACGAATTTTTTAAGCCTAATTAATCCGTCATTAGCACATGTTTTCTGTAGCACCACATTGTCAAATCATGGACTAATTAGGCTTTGAAAGATTTGTCTCGCAAACTATGCAATTAGTTTCGTAATTAGTCTATATTTAATACTCCATGCATGTGTCCAAACATTCAATGGGACAGCGACTAAAATTTAGGAGGGGCAACCAAACACCCCCTTAGACATTTTTATCCCAACGACCGAGAGGGGATTGAGGTGGCCCTATCTGAGAATACTGCATCGAACAACCAACCTTGCGCTGTTGTGCACCAACCCAACAGGCCCTAGGGAATATGGGATCAAGGAACCGTCAATTTATGGCTTGAAGGTTAATACAGTATTCATGTAGTCATGTTAATACAGTATTCATTACTCCTGAAATTAACTCAGGAAAGAATGATGTATGAATTGAAGGTTGTTTTCAGTCTCGTGAAACAGATCAATTCTTACCAACAGTAACTGGTTTTAGGTCAGCACTGAATGAACAGTGCGTTGCAGCTAATCACATTAGTAAAAGTTTTTTAGTGAAATACCTGATTAGTACAAGCAACAAAATTGTTGGTAAGATTCCAACTAGTAATTTGTAACTCTCTCTCAATATGTGCTGCAGCAGCAAGCTCGATAGCTTCATCAGGAAGTTGATTCATGGCGGAAGCCAGACCAACAGGATGAGTAAAATTTACAGTTCCTAATTGTTTGAGACGATAGAGACCAGCTTGCATACTCTCATAACAGCATACCTGAAGAATGACAAGCCAGTTAAAATAAATTCAAAAGTCATGGCAATGCTTTTTTAGGGAAGGGCAAAAGAAATAATGCTACCAAACATTTATTGCATTGCAATGATATTGCATATTAGTCTATTGCAATGATCTCACTCAAAAAAGTCTATTGCAATGATACAATTTGATTCAACCTTTCAGCATTAACACAATCTCAGGCTTTTAATAATTCAGAGATGTAAGTATGTTTGCTGAAGGCTACTTTTTACATCATGAATATACTGGCAACTAATCTTGATTATTTTGTGCTCTTATAAATTTAGAAGAAAAAAAGAACACAAATACCCAACCAAGGGTACTCCAACCAGTTTGGTTTTGCCAGTTAGGTCGAAATACTTGAACCTTAGTGTGAAAAGAACACTGATCTTTGCGAGTTGCACCAGTTAGGAGCACCAGTCCATTAGTATAACAATATACATGTAAATGTGTCACAGATAAGAAAGCTCAAGGACATAACTGATTAAAACTTAATTTTTGAGGATCTATGTGGCATCTTACAGGCTTCATGGTTAATCCATCATCATTAAAATTACGAGACTTGACTTCAATCGTCATTATTCCAGCCATTAGAACTTGTCCAGACAATATCATGGCCATCCACCAAGACTTGACCACTTTACAAGTGCCCACAAATCCACAATGTTCAACAACTCTCCGGTAGAATGACAAGTTTGGGGACAACATGAAGTATACTAGCTATACTCCATGATATTCTGAAATATATAGATCTCTAGCTATAAAGAAATCTAAAACCATCATAAAGAAACTTAGCTACCACTCCCCTCTGTTTGGGGATGCAAGGGGGATTATTTCAGAATTGAGGGAAGTCGATTCCCTAATTGAAGTTAATACTTTTTTTTCCTTCCACTCCAAGATCATGTGTTAATATCAAGAGTTCAGTACAAATTGAAGACATTTAAGCAACAGCTCATTCCAAACAGGAACTGAGATATTGCACATTAATTTATGCAACGAATTGGTGCCTTATATATTTAGAAAAGGATATATAGGTAATAAACCATGCTGTTGATCCTTATAGACAGTGAAATGTGATCAGCTCTCACATTTCCTTGAGATATGAGGCTTATCATCAAGAAAGAATTGATTAACACAAGTGTAAGTGTAACTTGAAGAAACTCACACTTTCCGGTGCCAATAATCTTTTCAGTTCTTCCTCAGATGGAACCTGGAAATCAGGTCTCTTTGTCCAGAAATGTCCCTTTGGTCCTTTCTAGAAATAAACATGTAGCACAGTGTTAATTTTAGTTAAATCAAAAAGCCCCAATACTGAAAAAAAAAACATGGGAAAATACAAAAAGTATGTATACATACAACTTAACATATGTGATAAACATCTAACCTTCAACTCTGCACAATGCTTGAGTCGTTTTCTCACAATGGCATCTGTCAAAGGACTTTGTATAGGTAACTCATCAGCTCGTATCTGACAAATGGTGCCAGGACTCTCCCTAGCTCGAAACTCACGATAAACATATACAAGCATTCGATTCAGAAGATAATTCTGTACATTTTTTGTCCCTGGTGAAAATACTTCCATATGAGGTTCCTGCCAAGGGAACAGCAATCATTTATCATTTATGAATGTAATGAGAAGAGTTATCCCAAACAGATCAGTCCTGTGGTAGGGTGAGTACAAGAAACAGAAACAAGTATATATGAAGAAACAGAAACAAGTATATATGTATGACAATATGTTTCTAATAAATTATACTAGCAATGACAGAAATAAAGGGCAAAACAAGTACCATTTACATTTTGATGCCAAATGCTATAGGAAGTTAATATAATCAAATACGATTTATTTTCAATTGTTAGACAAAAAATATCCAAATTCATTTTCAAGTCATTTCCACAGAAATAGCATGCAATTTAGTAGAGAGTTCCATTTATGTTATCACAAACTGTTTTTCTTCAAATGGCAACACATCACCAGAGTTTAGGACCTTTCAAAGCATGTAATTTAGTAGAGAGTTGAATTTATGTTATCTCAAACTGTTTTTCTTCAACAAATGGCAACACATCACCAGTGTTTAGGAACTTTCAAAAGTGCAGCGCATGCCATGGCAAAACATGACAAAAGCAACTTTTAACATGCAATTTCCAAAGGTAAAACAACACCTACATCACTGAACTTCATACTAGAAACATATCAATACACAACATGAAAATTCCCTGATGAAAAAAGTAAAGTAATGAAAAAACATGATGAACAAACAAATATTCTATTACAGTAACAGTCTGATTACCAAAAAGGCCCGAATAAAAATTTTATAGCAGTGTTCAGGAAAATGTTGACATACTTATACAAATTATACCCTAGATAATACAATGGATATTAAGAACATGATCTGCACAGCAAGGCAATGCAATACATCAATGTTCAAACCATCCATCAAATTACGTTAAAAAGGTATACCGTATACATCAAAGATATGCATCAAATGCATACTCCATGACCATCTTAGTGCAAACAGCAAGAGGTAAAACAAAGCTTCAGATTGCACATCCTGCTGATAAAGAATACAGTAGTTTGGCAAACGAGCTTACTTCTTGGCCAACAGTATAAACCTTATCAATACGGCGAAGGAAAAGTGCCCCTTTGGCCGAACGGACTAAAAGATAATCTCTTGACGAAACCAGGTGAGGAAATATAGGTGACCTGTACATGTTTGTTTCAAGACAAGACTGATGGGAACCGGAACATATGTGTCCCAGAAAAGGAGATATGTCAGCCGGATCAATTTCAACCACTGTACCCATTCCATCACTTTTGTTTTGAAGTGATGAAGCTGTCTCATCAGTACACGATGTCTTTTTGTAATATGTACACAGTCGGGCTCCCATTCCTGTATTTGAAAGTAGTAAAGGCCTCTCCTCACAGTATCTGTATTGGAAGTGCCAGAAAACAGAATTAATACAATAGTGAAGGAAAAATACATAATTAAAATATTGCCTTTACATAGCCAATACAATCTTCAACGTATTGAACATCTTGTATTCTTGTTCACCAATTGACTAAACTAGTAAAAAAATCAACAAAAGTAGGAAAAATAAAAAGTAAACATCTTGTAACTGACCAATTTCCAATAATTAAAGAGCAGATCAAATGCCTATTTTACATGACAGATGGCTAAGCAAATATTAACATGATGCACAAACAATTGGCTGAACTGGCAATTAAATTCTCATTTGTTGCAGTCACAGATGTAAAGTCCATTGCCGTTAATGCTTACATCATAAAAAACGAAATAAATTAGACTTACTCCATCAAAAATACATGTCCATCCTTAACGGACAAGTCAACTTTTTTCCTGAATGCCCCAGGAGGACGTAGAGGCTTGTCCTCACCAGGTAACATCTGTGCTTTTGGCCATAGATTTACTTTGGTGCACACTGAATGCAGAATAGAGTTAGGTCGCACATTTTGCATAGCCAAAGAGATATCATCCTGAAGCTCTTTTCCAGAATAAAACAACTTTATGCTCTCAGAATGTTTGAATTCTGCATATAGAGGACATCACAAATCATAAAGAAATATTAGTAAAACTGAGGACTGAAAGAAGTGGTCATCTTTTTTGTTTTTTTTTTTCCTGGGGGTGGGGGATAGTAGCTTTAAATTGCATAGGAGAGTAAACATCACCCATGCATGCAAAGGCCCAATGCACAGAGCTCCGCTCTGTGCTGAGGACTGAAAGGTGTCATTGACAAGCCTTACATCTTTTTGTTTTTTTTCCTGGGACCTTCCGGGGATAAGACTCTACCGCTTGCACCAGGCCCGCCATAGAGAGTATTTGAAAGAAACCACCCACAAATAAATACAAGGTAATAACAAATAAAATAAGCAAAAAAAATGGAAGAAGAAATTAGTACTAGCCTAGTTTCTTTGCAATTTTTAGTTTCACAGAGACCGGAGTTTCATCTGCATTGACCATGAGCTTCATTCCTTTTCCTCCCAGAGTCATCACTATAGCAGTCATTCGTCCATGGCTAACTGCAGTTCCATGCAGTTGAGCAGCAACTTTATTTTCATGCGGATACCACTTAGCTTTTGGTCTATGAAAGCTTGCAATCTCCTTACTACAGAAAATTGAAGTGCAAAAAAAAAGGTAAGAAATGAAGTGGGGAAGAAAAAAAAATATACAGTTCAGTAGGTGATATAAAATCGCAAATCGACAACAATGGTAACGTTTGGCTCCATTGCCAATGGGGAAGCATGAAAATTGGGTTCCCTTGCTTTACTTTTCGCAGGTTGCATGGGGATTTCCTTGCTTTTGACGAAGAGCTAAATTGGATGTCCTCTGCTAGCAAGGATTTCCTCGCCCACTATTGAGGTCAGGCAAGGAAAGTGAACATGCAATAGAGGCATAGAGCTCAAGTAGGAAACTTGTGTTAAATATAACCAGACCCAAGGTCTGAAGTGTCAAAATATGCACCATACTTTGGGCACCGAGTTCCACTGCAAGCATCCATTGTCATGCTACCACACAATGCCCACGATGCCATCCACACCAGCAGAAGAATTTAAATTAAATACTCTTAATTTAATTTTGTTGTTAGCATTATCTCTAGATTGCATGCACGTCTCTAATTGAATGAAGCAAGATTGCAAGAACAGCAAGTATCAAGCATCTATCAATGAAAATTCGCTGGCTACAAGTATAACCTGATATCCAAACTTTCAAGTTCTAAAGTTGTGTCTATTATGTACTTATTATGTTATGAAAAGAAGCACAGACTACAGAAAACCCAGTAGTACTAACCAACAACGTCAAAAGAGCTACTTAAAGATGGGACCAAAGGCACATTCGAGACGACAAAAATCCACATCTCTATACCAGTCTGTGATAAGTGGACATCAGAAATGTATGCTGGCCTGGCGAAATATCACAGACACATCCTCATGTGGTCCGTCTCTGATTTCATTTCACAGACTCATTTTCTTTTGCCATCTGTAATTTACTCCCTCTATCCCAAAATAGAAATCGTTCTCGTTTCCCAAGAAGTCAGTGACTTTGACCAATTATATATAAAAGAATATTAATATTTCTAATACATAATTAGTATCATTAGATAGATTGTTGAATATTCTTTCATAATAAACTTATTTGGAGATATAAATGTTGCACGCATTTTCTACAAACATAGTCAAAGTTGAGAAAGTTTGACATGTATGCATCCCATAACGACTTCTATTGTGGGATGGAGGGAGTAGGTGTCTTCTTTTCGTGTTTTGTGATAGTGCAAAATCCTGAGTCGAAAATTAGTCCAGACAAAGCATATCCAAATAAACTGTCAAAAGAATTTCTACAAGACAACAGAAGTGGCAACTGCTTTCTCAATTTGATATCACTGATAAATACACTTTAAATTGAATACAAAGAAAAATCCAAACAAAGTTATTCATGGTTATGCTGTTGCCTAACTACTAGTTATTCACCCCCATTGTAATCCTTGTCACCTTGATAAAGTAAGCAGAACAGAGAATTAAATATTCACCGAGACTTGTGAATACACATAGAAGATTGAGGGAAGGGCAGGGTGGCTCATACTTGCTCAGTTTTGGTTTCATGGTTTGCAGCTTCTGAGCTGGAGCAGAATGCACCACCTTTATGCAGATTGAGGCACCTTTTTTAGTAAGAAACTTAGCTTGCTGCGAGAATTTCCCATTACAATAAAACTTGTCATTTGAGATGTTGAATTGATCACTCAGTGCAATCGATTGATTGCCAAAATTATCCGCTGATGATGCTGAACTCTTCATTGACGGACTAACAGCAATCATAGCAGGAGCATGAGAGTGGATGCGGTCCACTTTCTTTCCATCCACAGTCTCAAATAGCATCTGATCATCTTTAAGATCAAATATAAGTTTAGGCTTTGGGGTATCCACACTAGGATCCCAGATAATGTAGTCACACCATGATCCTTCTAATAATTCCCTGTTCAGTAAGCAAAGATTGTTTAACCGCTGCATGGTCACAGGTTCTGTGTGGTATAAGGCATTATTGTCCTGAGCTGTCTCCTTTGTCAATGGATGGTAACTTTTCTCAGGGGCATGGTGATTAGCTGCAGCAGGCATTTCAGTAAAACCAAACGGATCTATTATTACTGGAGAACCATGCTCATTGATTTTACCCTTCACAGCACAGTACTGAAAGACATGACCATAATCCTTAGCCTGATCACCATTGTGAGTGTCCATGCTCTCTTCATATATTGCAAAACCTTTTAAGCAAGGCTGACTGTCAGTTGTTGGTGAATTATCCCAAATGATATAATTTTCCCAATCATCATTCTCAAGTGGATAAAAATCAGGACAAACAGGAGACGGCTGAGCACTAGGGATATCTTTAAGTGAAACTTTCATAGGCTGTTCAGAAAGACACAAATCCTTTGGCCACAAAGTGACATCAGAAACAGAATCAGCACTGTCACTCTCAACAAAATCTGCATCCATTTGGATATGCTTTAAATTTGAGATATTTTGGATACTGTTTCGGAAAAATATTTCCTCATCTTCTTCAATGATGTTAGCATATTTAGCGATTTGGAGCTCTGGAAGCAAGTTTGGAACCAACAAAGAAGACATCAGATATACTCAAATGTTCTAGCCAGGAGCACTATTATAATGTCCAATAATCTACAAGATGGTGATCAGTATTTGCTCAGTCACTGGCATCTTTCTTTTCAACAGTTTTCTATTTAAACTTCAGAATCACATAGTTCCATTCATATAGCAGCAGAACAAAGACCTACTATATCATTTTCCAGGCATATAGGTAGAAATTTAAGTAATGACCATCTGTCAATGCTAGCATTTGTAGCAAACGCATATCTGGCCAAGGAAGATATTGTTCAGAGGCGTAGGGCCATGTGTAGTGCGGGGTAATTCAACAAGTGCATGAGTGGTGGCTTCTGTGTGTTGGCTCTATGACCGGTGTTTGAGTCAGTCCTATGACCGGGTTTCTTGGCACCATGGGTGCCTGCACATAAAACTCTATTTCCTTCTTAATTGAGCGGCAGAGCTCCTGCCTTTACTTTCCAAGAAAAAGCATTTGCAGCAAAAAGAATCAATTCGTGAAAGGAGAAGTCATACAGAAGAAGATTGGATCAACAAATGCATGTTATTTAATGAGGGAATAGAACAGGAGAGGCCCTTGCTGTGGTATATTATTATGAAAAAAAAAACAGAAAAAAGAACATACACATGCCAAATGGAAGAGAAAAAGTAAAGGAGAACTAGAGGAAAAGGAGATAGAAAAAGAGATAAGTAGAGCTACTCTACAACTGTGTGAGGCCAACTCATAAATATTGTATCTTAAGGGCTCTCTAAAAGTGCCATGCAACCCATATTACCTTTATTCACTGGATGTGTATAGTGATCTGTCTTCCTTAGTCTTGCAGGCACCTCAGCACCAAAAATTTCAGAAAACCTCAGGATCACACTCCCATCCTCTATGCACAAAACAGGGAGGGAAGCTGCAGTTTCAGACCCAAGATAACCTTCTTCAGTGCCCATTTCTCTCTGGTTCATTATACAAGACAATTATATTAAGATATACTCGGTAGATCATTATAAGAACTACAGATTGAATAGAAAATGTTGGGTCAACTGGTTACATGGCATAAATGGGTATAATTCAAGGTCAAGACGTGACAATACCTGCAGAAGTTCATAGTCGAAGTCTAAACATTCCTCTGAATGTGGCAACAAACCAACATTTTCTTTGGCAAGATTAACTTGGGGATATGGTTGAATACCATCAGAAGAACAATTTTGCACAGCACTATTAACTTGGGAGTCGATGTCATTGATCGTACCTTCATCTTCATCATAGTTATCCTCACCAAACACTGATAATGTACTATCGACTGAAGTATACACTGCATTTGATGAGAAGTAATCTTTTCTAGATAGCACATTGTCTTCCTCTGTGGGTGCTTCAACTTCAAGTCCATCATATTCTTCATCAATATCTTCAAAGTCAACAGTATCTTCTGCCTTCTCATCACAATCTATGGAACAGCAAAAAGATCAGGTATCGACAAGTGTGTATAATTAGGCAAGAAAGAGCAGGATAAGGCTGTCAGAAATGGCAAGATCTGGATAGGCAAACTGAGTCAGCGAATAATCTAATGGACAAGAACCATCCATTTAGCTTTTATGGAAAAGTTAAGCTTCACTAACCTTGCTCAGAGGAATCAGTTGGTGCTGGAGAAGACCTGGCTAACTATTAAACAACAAATAGTTAGCATGTTTGACAAGGACACAGTGTCAAATTAACTATTATCATGAGATAGCATACATCAATGTCTTGGAGGGATAGGCCCAGCTCATCTGCCAATGCAAATATGTGTTCCTTCACATCCTAATATAATACAAGAGAAATAAGAAAATGCCGCATTCCAGTAATCTTATGAACACAACTGCATAATGCCTTATTTTTTCACAGACAGATTCATATAACCAACTGGGTTCCACACTGCACAGCATTCAGACACTGGCCGTAAGTTTAACATCAAATCCTACGAGTATCAAGTAAAGACATTCAGCATATGGATATACTCAAAAGAACTAGCTGCATGTTATCCACATATATGGTAGATGTAGCAAAATGAAATAAAAGGATCAAAACAACGAAAAGAATCCAAATATTGCCACATCAAAACAGATTCAGAAGTCAAAAGGAGTATACCTCATCAAGATAGTCAGTATCTAGGTCGCCAGAATCATCCACATTACCGAACATGAACCCCACGAAGTAATTCCAGCCACCAGGCTCTTCGTAATCCTCATCATCTGTAAGGATGGGTTTAATCAAACTCTGCATTTCATCAAATGTACACAGCTTGCAATAGGCACAGTTTAATCAATAGGACAAAAGTTGGGAATTTGTGCACAAATGAGTCAGGACAAACTGACAATGATATGGTGCATTCCCAGACAACAGCCAACTTCTGTGAGTCCGAAACTTGATAGTGAAGTCCAACATTGAATCCGTCCAATCCAACAGTCATAACCAAACACAGGCAAGGTAAACACGCGCCTACCAAATTACCAATAGCACCCCAACCCAATCGCACTAGACCTACGAGCATCGCAGCAGTTCACGACGCTAGGTACCGACGATCATCGACTCGCGGCAGTAGAGAAAACGAAACACATGCTCCGCAGCGGCAAGGCGACGAGTCGAGCTCACCTGCGGCGCTGGCATTCGGGCTCTCGTTGTTGCTCATGATGGTTGCGCGCGGCTGCGGCGGCCCTACCACGGCCGCCTCCGCCCACCGCCACTGGACCACGACGGCGGCGCCCACTAACCCTGGAGGCCTAGACCGCGGCGCTCCCGAAACCTCGATCGGCGCCGGAATTTCCTAGCCCTAGCGTCGCCGCGGCCGGATTGGGGGAGTGAAATAGAAACCGCGGGAGGAGGGTGGAGGGACAAATGCGTGAAGTGGAGACCGAGGCCGAGGCGGTGCCGTCTGCTGGGCTTTCACCAAACAATGGGCTTCCAAGGCCTTCCCATTTTCAAATATCAGACCCATTCCGGTGGTTCAGGATTGAACGAATTTTTCAAAGAAAAAGTGCAGGAATTAGGAATAAAAAATCGTCCATGACCATGTTGACCATTGTTCATGGCGTTTGGAATCAAGAATCCTCCATTTTGAGTTTTTGACCATTGTTCATGGCGTTTGGAATACAGATGATTGATCAAATCCTTTCCTCTGAAATTTTTTTAACCACATGTACGTTTTTTAGGAAAAAAACATCTACAGAAGGAAATTTTCATATGGTTGCGGGAGAGGCAAGTTCCTGTCTAAGCAAATCCATGATGGAAATTTTCCCATCGTACCGAAGGCAAGGTAAACAAGTCAAATGGGACCATCTTTCATTTGTTTGTTAGAAGCGAGAAAACAAGTGCATCTCTATAATACAAGGAAGAGGGGTCAGCTTTATGTTTGGTTTAGTTATAAGTTGTTAAAAGACTATTGTGTGTTATAGAAAAGTTGCTGTGGGCTGTGTGTTACGCAACCAACAACTCTAAACATCTCTATATTTTCACCCTTGAGAAAAGTATAGAAAGCCAAAATCCAAAAGCATGATCTAAGATGCTTTGAAAATTATGTTGCGCGATGGCAACTGCTTCTGAAAAAGGACATTTTAGGTAGGGCTCCAGATTCTCACAGAAACGTTTCAGATTTAGATTCTTTGGGGGCTGAAACGTTTCTCTGATAAATAGAATCATTTGCCAAAACTTTTTGGCTAATTGTCTGGATTCAATTATGAAAAGAGGAACATATGGTGGAATAGACCAAAGTGCCCTCGGAGTGTGATGAGATTTTCTTGAATTAGAACAGGGAAAATAAAGCATTTACAAGCATAAGAAAAATATGCTATTTTTTCTTTTACAGAATTGAACAAAATACAACTTTCCATATTTCCCCCAAACCATATATTGCATCCCCAAATACATAAATCACACAAATCCATTCAACTATAGCGGAAGGCCAGCCATAGGAGACACGGGAAGGCCAGCGACACAGGGAGGCGTCGCCTCCTCACGCAGCTTCGACCATGCGATGACGGCAGCTCCTCTTCAACAAGGGAAGGTCGGCACTCGGCTGTGAGGGGTTGGGAAGATCGGCGGCACCCAAGTGCACAGGAGGCGCCAGTTGGGGGCATAGGGAGGCGACTCCTCCTCCTCCTCCTCCTATCGCTTGGCGCTCGCGCGTGCTGGGGGGGGGGCCTACTTCCTGGAGCTTGCACATGCGAGAGGGGGCCAGGAGCAGAGTCACGAGGAGGGGGGCACGGCCTTGGGAAGTCGCGATGTCGGGCTGCTTCAGTGGTGACGTCGGTCACCCCATCCGCTCAAACCTTCCCGCGTGCAATGTGAATGGATAAGGGGCGGTGGTAGGAGCAGTAATTTCCACCAAGATAGAGGAGGCTTTTTGCGTCGGGTGGAAGGTCAGTGTGAAACTAGGCTTTTGCCATTTTAAGGAAGGGATCCTAAGGTCCCCTTTGGTAGAACTCCAGTTCCTGGTTCTTCAGCTTTGCTCCTTGATTCTCAAATGAAGTGATTTTATTGGACTCCTAGGAGGGAGCAGGGTGGGGAGTTGAGAACTGATTCTCTGCTGATCCTCAACAAGATATAACAGGGAGCAAGATAAAGCAGCTTTTTTTAGCTTCCACCTCTAATGTAAATGGAGAAGTGATTAACTGATTATCTCCTGATCCCCTGCCTGAATTAATTGGCATTTTGAGCAAACGGCTCCTAAATCGTTTCGATTCCAATTCTAGGGTCCCGAGAAACGAAATCCTACTGCAGCATTCAAATTCTAGTGGTGCCCTTCAGTTCAGAATTGGGTCGGACATTCTAGCCCGGCACATTATATTTGCTTGTGGGTCGTCCATTCAGCCCATTATGTGTCGGAGCCCAAGGTTCATGGTCTGGCTAGAAAGTGGGCCATTCAGGCCCATTCCAGCCACTGAAAAGCATGGGACGGACAGCAGCCGTCCTCTCCGTCTCCCGTGCCCGCGTCGGTGAACCCGCCTCCTGCCTCTAGCACCGCCGATCGGAGGAGCTCTTCCTCTTCCCACACAAGGCAAAGTAGTCCCCGTTGTAGTCCGCTCCGCTCCCTACCGGTGTTAGGTTGGCGTGGATTTCCACCAGGGCTTTTCTGATCTGGTGGGACTGATTTATTCTGCCATTAACTTTTTTGGATGGAATTTGTAGCGATCGATCAATGGTTTTGTTCTTGGTAGTATCCTCTTACTCCCGCATGCAAACGGAAATCTATGAGCCATCAGAACCAAATATCTTGCCAAACATTTTTCTGCCTGCATCCGCCTATGCACAGAGGAGTATCCACTGCTACAGAATAGCACTTCACTGCCAGTCTCATCACTGTCGGAATTAAGAGAACCGGCAGTGTTGACCTTTCACTGTCAGTTTTTGGCTCTGAAAATCAGAAATTGATTTGGGATGTGACCGAACCGACAGTGATGACAACTATCACTACCGGTTTGTGTCTCTAACCGGCAGTGGCTTGATGGCCACATATCACTGTCGGTTCAAGCCAAGAGCTGACAGTGATTGACCTCTATCACTGTCGATTATAGCCAAGAACCGACGGTGATAAGCCTACAGCACAAAAAGGTTGCAGCCGTCCTCTCCTTCCTCCTCTCTTCCATCCCGAGAACAGAGGCACGCATTTGGACCCTTCCCTCCATTGTTGCGGCTGCTCTTCACCATGAAGCTGGTGCTTGGATTTTCAAGAATGGCTTGATCTTTTTGCTTTAAGATTAGTAACAACCATCCACTCCTTTGATTTTGTTGCTTAATTAGTTTTGTTTTGATGGCTACATTACTTGATTCTCATTCTAGTTCTTTCTACATTCTATAGAGCACTTTTCCAATTAGACATTTGTGCAAGGCTTCCAAGCTAATTGTGGTGAATCCATCATTCAAAAGGTTAGTGTCTATGAACACATTTAAATTTCTAGCTAATTATTCCATGGTGGTCAAGATCATCATTGTTAGTATATGATGCTATAATTAGTTCTTAGAAGCAGAGTAGATTCTTTTATAATTTGTTGAGAAAATTAATCTATGTATCACATAACAACGCATTGTTTGGAGCTACATTGTTGTTCATGATCATGTCTCCAATTTTAGACTTTTTAAAAAAAATTAGTGTCTCCATTTTTATGTGGCATGAAGTAGAATAATTGTTCTTCATTATTGTGCAATAATTTTTTATGGGGTGTGTTTTTCAATTTATATGGGCATTGTTTGGAGCTCCATTGTTGTTCATGATCATGTCACCAATTTTAGTCTTTTTTAAAATTAGTGTCTCCATTTTTATATGGCATGGAGTAGAATAATTGTTCTTCATTACTGTGCAATAAATTTTTTATGGGGCTACGTTTTTCAATTTATATGGGCATTGTTTGGAGCTACATTGTTGTTCATGATCATGTCTCCAATTTTAGTCTTTTTTTACTATGATTTTCCATTTACAGGGCCAGGGCTACCAATTTCAATTTTTCAATAATTAGTGTACAATAATGTTTTCTAAAGATGGTACTTTAGCTATAATTGTTGTTCATGAAGCTCGATTTCTTATTAATTCTCTGTAATTACTGTCTCAATATTTTTTGTACAGAGATGGATCGATAGTGGATGCATCTATCCCGAACGAACAAGCGGTGCATGCATGGCGTCAGCCAGTTTATCACCGATGCCAAAGCCCATGCTGTGAATGGGAACCATGTCTTCTGCCCATGCAAAGATTACAAGAATCAAAGGAACTTTTGTCAAATTGAGTCTATATGATCACACTTTGATTACCAAGGGGTTCATGCCAAACTATACGATATGGACTATGCATGGCGAGGTTGATGTGAATGTTTCGCTGAAAAACGATGATGATGTGAACATGTCTGACGTAGCCATCCACGATGCTGATGAGAAATCCGATGTCAATACGGAACCTATGGTCACAGTTAATAATGTGTTTAGAAACATGCTACCTGACAACATCGAGAATAACGATGGCATTTCTCAGCTGCTACACAATGTAGAGATCGGATGTCTTAGTGAAAGACAGCTGAGAAAGCTAGAGAAAATGAGGCAAGATGGCAAAACACAATTGTATAAGAATTATCCAATAAACAAACTAAAAGCTAACATCATGCTGTTAGAGTTCAAATCGATAAACGGATTGAGTGATAAAGGCTTCGATCAGTTGTTAGGTATAATAAGGAAAATGCTCCTAGAGAAAAACGAGTTGCCAGAAAAGATATACTTGGCCAAGCAAATGATCTGCCCCATCGGCCTCGAGGTTGAAAAAATTCACACGTGTTCCAATGATTGCATATTGTACCATGGAGAAAAATACAAAGACTTGGACAAGTGCTCCAAGTGTGAAGCTCCATGGTACAAGGAAAGGCCGTCAGATGAGGGTACCAAGACTAGAGGAGGTCCCATAAAGGTCGTTTGGTATTTTCCTATAGCTCCCTGGGTGCATAGACTATTTGCATGTGCAAAGTCTGCTAAGCTGTTGCGATGGTATGGCGAATAGCGTAAGAAAGATAAAATGATGAGACACCCCGCCGATGAACATGACTGGAGAACTATCAATACTATGTTCTATAAAGACATCAGTGGAGAGGTAAGGCACCTTTGATTTGTTTTAAGCACAAATAGGATGAATCCTTTCAACCAGGTTAGAAGCAA